TCACCCTCAGAGGGAAGAAGTTCTTCCTCATGTTCAGCTGGAACTTCCTCTGCTTCAGTTTGTGCCCGTTGCCCCTTGTCCTGTCGCTGGGCACCACTGAAAAGAGTTTGGCCCCATAATAACCACCTTCCTCATTTTGGGCTTTTGGCTGCACGGGACATGCCAGGACGCAGGCAGCTGCCCGTACAGCCCCACTTGGACCTCCCCCTCCGGGGATGGGAAGAAGAACCAGGCTGGTGTGGCTCTCCGGGGAAATCTGCAGTGTCACCCACCTGCAGGATCAGCACTTCCCAGACTGGGCACGAAGAGGAGTCTCCAGCCAGGCTGGAGGCCACTGGGGACAAGCCTGGACAAGTGGGGAGAAGGGGACCTGCCCTCTGCCAGGGATTTGGTGTGCTTGCGCTGTTTTGGAGTGCAGGAGTCAGGCAGGTCAGACCAGTCCCAGGGGCTCAGGCCTGTACTCACCCCTTTGCGAAACAGCAACAAGATCTCCCAGTGCTCTCTACGAAGATCTGCCCTGGTCGCATGCGCTGGAGGCAGGGCTGGTGACCCACGCTGCCAGTCCCACAGCAGCGACACGAACCTGGCTGGGCAGCCTGGGGAAACGCGACCTAACGTCACAGCTCTGTCCGCTTGGACCAGAGACCTCCACCAGCTCCAGTTAGCAGCTGGGTGATATCAGGGGCTGCAGAGCCCACCATGGGCTCCGGCACCATCCACCCACCCGTGGGACTGACCTCCCCCATGCTGCGTAGCACCTCAGTTCTCATTTTCAGCCCAGTTTCAGAGCTGTGAGAATCCTGGCCACGAGTTTTTCTGCCATGATAAATACTGAGATGGCTGCAAGAGCAGAGGAGATGCAGGAAAAGTCACCGGCAGGCTGAGGAGCTCCAGAGCCTTACAAACTGCCTGTGCCTGGCAGCTCTGCCCTTTGCCTGTCCCCACAGCTCTGCCTGCTCTCATGGAGCAAAGGCTTAGGGGCACGCACGCTACAGAGGAATTGGTTCTCCAAGCGGGTCAAGGCTATCTGGAGAGTGAGGTTGCACGTGGTGTTTTCACCCCCACCACAACAGCGATGAGAAAGTGGCAGGCCAGGGTGGCTGAGCCCATATATTTGTTTAAAAGGAGCGATGAAAGGTATAATCACGTGCCAGCACATGCTGGGGTCTGACCAGCTGGAAAGCAGCTTTGCAGAAAGGACACTGGGATCCTGCTGGACACTGAAGTTGAACACGAGCCAGCAATGTGCCCTTGCCACAAAGAAGGACAACGGTATTCTGGGCTGCATTAGGCACAGCATTGCCGGCCTACCCCTCTGCTCAGCACTGGTGAGGCCACACCTGAGAGAGTGCAGCAAAGGGCCGCTAAGGTAATTAAGGGACTGCAGCATCTCTCATATGAGGAAAGGCTGGGAGAGCTGGGACTGTTTAGCCTGGAGAAGAGCAAGCTTGGGAGGATCTTATAAATATATATAAATACCTGAACAGAGGATGCAAAGAACATGGAACCAGGCTCTTCCAGTGGCATCCAGTGACAAGACAAGAGGAAACAGGCACAAACAGGAACACAGGAGGTTCTGTCTGAACATCGGGAAACGCCTTTTTTACTGTGAGGGTGACTGAGCACCGGAACTGGTTATGTTGGGAGGTTGTGGACCCTCAGTCCTTGGGAGACAGCAACAGATGTCTGGACATGGTCCCGGGCAATGGCTCTAGGTGGCCCTGCTTGAGCAGGGGGCTTGGACCAGATGCGCTCCAGAGGTCCCTGCCAACCTCAACACCTCCCGTGTAACCCGCCACGCCGCAGCCTGTCCCAGGTGTCCCCCACACTCACTACTCCGCAGCAGCACCACGC